TGTCACAGCAGTGCCCACGCCGTGCCCCGCACGCTCTGAGCCCGTGTCCCCGCAGGGTCCACGCCTTCCTGGAGCAGTGGGGTCTCATCAATTACCAGGTGGACGCCGAGAGCCGTCCCACCCCCATGGGCCCCCCGCCCACCTCGCACTTCCACGTGCTGGCCGACACCCCCTCGGGGCTGGTGCCGCTGCAGCCCAAGACGCCCCAGGTGGGTGCCGGGGGCGGCCGCCCCTCGCAGCCGCGACCCCCCCCTGCCGCCCCCCGGTCCCCGCGGGGGCCGGGCGAGGGGTGGGGCGGGGGGTGGGGGATGCACAGCTTCGATCCGTGCCTCAGGGCCGGCAGAGCGACGGCGACGCCAAGACGGGCCGCAAGAGCAAAGAGATCGAGGAGCTGGTCAGCGAGACGGTGAAGGGCAAGCCGGAGCTGGTAGGCGGCTCCTTGGGGTCCGTGCCCCCCGCCGCTGGCCGAGGAAGGCTCCTTCCCTCCTCCCCCTCGCATGCCGCCCTGCCCCGGGGAGCAGGGACGCGGGGGGGACACCGTGATGGGGACACCGTGATGGGGACACCGTGACACGAAGGCTTCACCGGGGGACAGCGGGGAGGAGGAGGAGGAGGAGGAGGAGGGACACGGCGATGTCGTGCCCCGCGGTGCCCGCCCAGCGTGTCCCCTCTCCCCCCACAGCAGCAGCCGAGCTCGGCCTCGCAGCAGATGCTGAACTTCCCCGACAAGGGCAAGGAGAAGCCGGCGGACATGCAGAACTTCGGGCTCCGCACCGACATGTACACCAAGAAGAACGTCCCGTCCAAGGTGGGCGCCGCCCCCGGCCCCCCTGGCCCGCCCCGACCCCCGCCCGCCGCCCCTCACCCCCAATTTCATCCCGCAGAGCAAAGCGGCCGCCAGCGCCACTCGGGAGTGGACGGAGCAGGAGACGCTGCTGCTGCTGGAGGTGCGTGGGGACAGGGACAGGGGGACAGGGGGACAGGGGATGTGGGGACAGGGACAGGGGAACAGGGGATGTGGGGACAGGGGAACAGAGAATGTGGGGACAGGGGGACAGAGGATGTGGGGACAGGGACAGGGGAACAGAGAATGTGGGGACAGGGCATGTAGGGGGACAGGGGACATGGGGACAGGACAGGGGACGTGGGGACAGAGGGGACGTTGTGATAGAGGGGATGTGGGGACATGGGATGTCTGAGGAAATGGGATGTGAGGACAGGACAGGGGATGTGGGAACAGGACAGGGGACAGAGGGGACATGGGATATGGGGACAGGGGACGTGGGGGGACAGGGGATGTGGGGATAGGAGAGGGGACAGGGGATGTGGGGGGACAGGGGACGTGGGGATAAGAGGGGATGTGGGGATAAGAGGGGATGTGGGGACAGGGCAGGGGATGTGGAGACAGGGGATGTGAGGACAGAAGGGACGTGGGAACAGGGGATGTGGGGAAAGGACAGGGGATGTGGGAACAGGGAACGTGGGGGAACAGGGAACACAGAGGGACAGGGGATGTGGGAACAGGACAGGGGATGTGAGACAGGACAGGGGATGTGGGGTCAGGACAGGGGATGTGAAGACAGGACAGGGGATGTGGGGTCAGGACAGGGGATGTGGGGCAGGGCTGCCAGACCCCCCTGACCCCCCTGAGCCCGCCCCACAGGCGCTGGAGATGTACAAGGACGACTGGAACAAGGTGTCAGAGCACGTGGGCAGCCGCACCCAGGACGAGTGCATCCTGCACTTCCTGCGCCTGCCCATCGAGGACCCCTACCTGGAGGACTCGGAGGCGTCCCTGGGCCCCCTGGCCTACCAGCCCATCCCCTTCAGCCAGTCGGGCAACCCCGTCATGAGCACCGTGGCCTTCCTGGCCTCCGTGGTGGATCCACGCGTGGCCTCGGCAGCCGCCAAATCGGCTCTGGGTAAGGCGGGGGTGGACGGGGGGCTGGGGGGGAATGGGGGGACAGAGACTGTGGGGAGAGGGGACAGGGAGTGGGATGGATCCTATAGGAGGAGGAACAAATCCCATAGAGAGAGGGGACAGGGAGTGTGGAGAATTGGATGAGTCCTATAGGAAGAGGAACAAATCCTATAGGGAGAGGGGTCAGGGGGTGTGGGGAGTGAAATGGATCCTATAGGAAGAGGAACAAATCCTATAGGGAGAAGGGAAAGGACTATGGGGAGTGGGATGAGTCCTGTAGGGAGAAGGAAGGACAGGGAGTGTGGGGACAGGGGAGAGGGGCACAGAGTGTGGGGAGTCCTGTGGGAGAATGGATGAGTCCTACAGGGAATTCTGTAGGCAGACAGGATGAGTTTCATGGGAAGAGGGACAAATTCTATAGGGGATTCTGTAGGAGAATGGGATGAGTTCTGTAGGGGATCCTGCAGGAAAATCAAATAAATACTGAGGGGAGAGAAATGTGTTCCCTGTGGGGAGGGATGAGTCCTATAAAAATTCCTGTGGAGGGTGGAAAGAGCTCATTAAAGAGTTTATAGGGAGTCCTGTAAGAGAATGGGATGGGTCCTGTAGGGAGTTCTGTGGGGAGACAGGATGAGTGTTACAGGAAGAGGGACAAGTCCTGCAGGATAATGGGGAAATGCAGGGAATCCTGCAGTGAGATGGGATCAGGAATGTGGGAGAGGGATGAATCCTATAAAATATCCCACAGGGAAATGGGATCAGTGCTGTGGGAGATGGGATCAGGAATGTGGGAGAGGGATGAATCCTATAAAATATCCCACAGGGAAATGGGATCAGTGCTGTGGGAGATGGGATCAGGAATGTGGGAGAGGGATGAATCCTATAAAATATCCCACAGGGAAATGGGAAGACTGAGACAGGGAGAAGGGCTGAGTGCTATAGGATATCCTACAGGGAACTGGGAGGAGTCTGATGAGAATAAAATTCCAAGGTTTTGGAGTGGAAAAAGAGGGATTTGGGGGGAATACAAGGCCCAAAATTCCAAGCTTCCTGAGGGAAAAGTGGGATTTGGGGGAGTGCTAGGCCCAAAATTCTGGGATTTTAGAGGGAAAAGTGGGATTTGGAGTAGGCCAAGATGAATATTCCCAGATTTCTGAGGGAAAAATGGGAAGCAGGGAAGTGCTGAGCACAGGATTCCAAGATTTTGGAGTGGAAAAAGTGGGATTTGGGATATGCCAGGCCCAAAATTCCAAGCTTCCTGAGGGAAAAGTGGGATTTTGGATGTGCCAGGCTTAAAATTCCAAGATTTTCAAGGGAAAAGGAGGATTTGGAGTAGGCCAAGTTCAAAATCCCCAGATTTCTGAGGGAAAAGTGGGATTTGAGATATTCCAGGACCAAAATGCCAAGGTTTTAGAGGGAAAAGTGGAATTTGGAGTAGGCCAAGCTCAGTATTTCCAGATTTCTGAGGGAAAAGTGAAAAGCAGGGAAGTGCTGAGCACAAAATTCCAAGATTTTGGAGTGGAAGAAGTGGGATTTGCAATATGCCAGGCCCAAAATTCCAAGCTTCCTGAGGGAAAAGTGGGATTTGGGAGGTGCCAGGTCCAAAATTCTGGGATTTTAGAGGGAAAAGGAGGATTTAGAGTAGGCCGAACTCTAAATTCCCAGATTTCTGAGGGAAAAGTGGGATTTTGGATGTGCCAGTCTTAAAATTCCAAGATTTTGGAGTGGAAAAAGTGGGATTTGGGATAGGCCAAACTCAAAATTCCCAGATTTCTGAGGGAAGAGTGGGATTTGGGATATGCTAGGCCCGAAATTCACAGATTTGTGAGGGAAAAGCAGGATTTGGAGTAGGCCAAACTCTAAATTCCCAGAATTACTGAGAGAAAAACAGGATTTGGAGTAGGCCAAACTCTAAATTCCCAGATTTGTGAGGAAAAAGCAGGATTTGGAGTAGGCCAAGCTGAATATCCCCTGATTTGTGAGGGAAAAGCAAGATTTGGAGTAAGCCAAGCTGAATATTTCTAGATTTACTGAGGAAAAAGTGGGATTTGGGAGGTGCCAGGCCCAGAATTCTGGGATTTTAGAGTGGAAAGTGGGATTTGGAGTAGGCCAAGCTGAATATCCCCAGTTTGTGAGGGAAAAGCAGGATTTGGAGTAGGCCGAGCTCAGTATTCCTAGATTTGTGAGGGAAGAGTGGGATTTGGGATATGCTAGGCTCGAAATTCCAAGATTTTAGAGATAAAAGCAGGATTTGGAGTAGCCCAAACTCTAAATTACCAGATTTGTGAGAGAAAAGCGGAATTTGGAGTAGGCCAAGCTGAATATTCCAAGATTTCTGAGAGAAGAGTGGGATTTGGGATATGCTAGGCCCGAAATTCCAACATTTGTGAGGGAAAAGTAAGATTTGGAGTAGGTCAAGCTGAATATTCCCCAATTTACTGAGCAAAAAGCAGGATTTGGAGTAGGCCAAACTCTAAATTCCCAGATTTGTGAGGAAAAAGCAGGATTTGGAATAGGCTGAGCTCAGTATTCCCAGATTTNAAAAGCAGGATTTGGAATAGGCTGAGCTCAGTATTCCCAGATTTCTGAGGGAAGACTGGGATTTGGGATATGCTAGGCCCAAAATTCCCAGATTTGTGAGGGAAAAGCAGGATTTGGAGTAGGCCGAGCTCAGTATTCCCCGATTTACTGAGGGAAAAGCAGGATTTGGAGTAGGCCAAGCTGAATATTCCCAGATTTGTGAGGGAAAAGCAGGATTTGGAATAGGCCGAGCTGAATATTCCCATATTTGTGAGGAAAAAGCAGGATTTGGAGTAGGCCAAGCTGAATATTCCCCGATTTACTGAGGGAAAATCAGGATTTGGAGTAGGCCAAACTCTGAATTCCAGTATTTCTGAGGGAAAAGCAAGATTTGGAGTAGGCCAAGCTGAATATTCCCCTGATTTGTGAGGGAAAAGCAGGATTTGGAGTAGGCCAAGCTCAGTATTCCCAGACTTGTGAGGGAAGAGTGGGATTTGGGATATGCTAGTCCCGAAATTATCAGATTTGTGAGGGAAAAGCAGGATTTGGAGTAGGCCGAGCTGAATATTCCCAGATTTGTGAGAGAAAATCAGGATTTGGAGTAGGCCAAGCTCAGTATTCCCGGATTTGTGAGGGAAGATCAGGATTTGGAGTAGGCCGAGCTCAGTATTCCCAGATTTGTGAGGGAAAAGTGGGAACTGGAGTAGGCCGAGCTCAGTATTCCCAGATTTGTGAGGGAAAAGTGGGAACTGGAGTAGGCCAAACTCTAAATTCCCAGATTTGTGAGGGAAGAGTGGGATTTGGAGTAGGCCAAGCTCGGTATTCCCAGACTTGTGAGGGAAAATCAGGATTTGGAGTAGGCCGAGCTCGGTATTCCCAGATTTACTGAGGGAAAATCAGGGTTTTTGGAGTAGGCCGAGCTCGGTATTCCCAGATTTACTGAGG